CTCGTTCCCTTCTTTCCCCAGGTGGTGCGAAGGAGATGTGGCACCGAGGAGTGGGTTCAGCCAAGGTTCTCCTGATGGGCTTGTTGAGCGCGATTTGAACACCGAGAGAGGTTCGGATGAAAACGGAGGCAGCTGTGAACGTCGTGCAGGGAGTTGGAAACAAAGATGAATGCTTCGGTTCTTGCTCCTCTGGGAAACATTTCCAGTCACTTCAATTTTTCAGAGAAGAACTCACCGATCTTGCAGTTTGAGGATGAGGATTGCCACGTGCCTTTGGCCATGGTCTTCACTTTGGCCTTGGCTTATGGGACCGTGATAATTCTGGGGGTCTCTGGGAATCTGGCCTTGATTGTCATTATTTTAAAACAAAAGGAAATGCGCAACGTTACCAACATCCTCATTGTCAACCTGTCCTTTTCAGATCTTCTAGTGACCATCATGTGTCTTCCCTTTACCTTTGTGTATACTTTAATGGACCACTGGATTTTTGGGGAGGCCATGTGCAAATTGAATCCTTTCGTGCAATGTGCCTCAATCACCGTCTCGGTCTTTTCTTTAGTCCTCATTGCTATTGAACGCCATCAGCTGATCATCAATCCCCGTGGCTGGAGGCCGAACAACAGACATGCCTACATGGGGATTGCTGCCATATGGATTTTAGCCACAGCATCCTCCTTGCCTTTCCTGATCTACCATGTGCTAACGGATGAACCCTTCAGGAACATAACATTTGATGAATACAAGGACAAATATGTGTGCCTGGACCTGTTCCCCTTGGACACCGCCAGACTTTCGTACACCACAACGCTTTTGGTGATTCAGTACTTTGGACCACTGTGTTTTATATTTATTTGCTACTTGAAGGTAAGAGAGAATCCGCTTGCAATATGTACTTCTTTCTGTCTGATGTTTGTGTATCCTTGCAAAGATGATGGTTGTAGGTTAAATTATCCCACGTTTCTCTTTGTTGAATTTCCCACAGATATACATACGATTAAAAAAGAGGAACAACATGATGGACAAGATGAGAGACAGTAAGTACAGATCCTCTGAAACCAAAAGGATCAACATCATGCTGATCTCAATAGTGGTTGCATTTGCAGTTTGCTGGCTGCCTCTCACCATCTTTAATATCGTGTTTGATTGGAATCATGAAATCCTGCCTGTCACTACCTGCAGCCACAACCTGTTATTCCTGATTTGCCACCTCACTGCCATGATCTCTACCTGTGTGAACCCCATCTTCTACGGATTTCTCAATAAGAACTTCCAAAGAGACCTGCAGTTTTTATTTCATTTTTGTCATTTTCGCTCTCGTGAGGAGGATTATGAGACTATAGCCATGTCCACCATGCACACAGATGTTTCAAAAACCTCTCTAAAGCAGGCAAGCCCAGTTGCATTTAAAAAAATAAGTAGCGACGATGATTACAAGATATAAAGAAGTAATAAATATTCTACACCAAACTGCTGGAATTGTGATCAAGGGTGAAATGTGTCCAGGGACAAGCACAATTACATAACTAGTACAAAATGGGTAATGTTTTTCATCTTTTTCCAAGAAACTTTGATTGTTGTCACTTTGAAATTCTATGCTGTGCATTTTTGCCCTTTTTACTGCTTTAATGTTTGCAGCAGTTATATCTGAATCTTATTATAAGACGTAGTCAGACCTGCTACTACCTATGGTTTCCATCAGCTGTCTTTTGTTCTGCTTTCTTTGTGCAGTTATGTGCTTCAGCACAACGATATATTTATTGATTTTTTTTCCAAAGAAGTAGTTTTTATGAGTGTCCCTCTAAGACTATTAGAAACAATATGAACCACAGGGAGGCTGTGGCTACAGAGGACACCCATCCCAGCACAAAATTAGGACATTCTGATTTGAAGGGTTCTTTGGTGTTAAAATCCTGAAAAATCAGTGTAGGCACACATTCCGTGAAACCTGTAGAATATGTTAAATGGGGACATACAGTTGTCTCATTCATAGAGGCAATTCAGGCTGTAATCACTTAGGTTCAAAGACAGGATTAAGACAAAAAATTCTGTTCTCATTTATGAGAATAAAACTCTACAGTAATCCCACAGAGAACAATGGGATGATTCTAATATTTCAGCACAGCAAATGAAAGCACAAATGGGCCTTCAGTCTCAACTGATTATAGCTCATTTTAATAATATAGTCTTTTTAATTAAAAAAAAACACAACAAACACAACCCCATTTTCATCTGCAATCACTGTCAGGAGTTACTGTTGCTGGGATGAAATGTAGTGTCTTTCCCCAGCCTGTGAAACATGTAAATTCTATTTGAGCTTTGTGTCCAGAATCTAAAGGGAAGGGATCTGTTCACTGTCTGGACAAGGTGCAATTCCATCCTCACAGGTGACAGTGAAAATCAGGTCTGGTATTAAAAAATGTAAGCTTTAACTGCCTGAGTCTTTTCATAATAATTAGTGCTGGTCTATATAAATTATGTATAGCTTCATAATATTCTGTATTCAGATGCAAGGGTATAAACCTGGATTATCTCCAAGACAATGGGTGGTTTAATCAAGCTCTGTAAAATTTAAAAAGAGGATATGGATATAGTTTGGGTGTAATTGGTATGTTTAGCTTTCAAACTCATGGTTTCCACAGTTGGTTGAAGTGCTGAGACACTTGGCAAATATACACAATAGAGCTCTGTGTGTTATTGCTTAACGTATATATATCTCTCTATATATCTTCTAATTGCATAAAATATACATGACTAGCTCCCCAGCTAAGGGAAACCCACGTAACTCGAGTTCTGTAAATCAAACTACAGCAATATCAGCCAGTTGAGATTCTGTGTCATACAGTGTACTTTGCTGTGTAATCAATGCCTTTTTGAATAACCAGCTTTTTAAAATACAATATAGGCCCTAAGTTTCTTTTAGCAAGGTCACTTTAAACAATGCTGGCAGAGAAGAGGGTCTTTAAAATGGGTATAAATGTAAATGTAGCCTAAATAGAAATCTGGCCTGGTATCTTTCTGAGCAAAAAGATCTCAGGATGTGATGGTGAATTTAATATGTTCTAAATTTGACATGGATAAATGCCTAGGAAATGAAAATTATTTGGTTTGCCAGCATTTAAAAGTCAAAAACTGTGCCTTGTGCTGTCTTATAAATAGTGTATAATATTAAAGTAGCAATGTGTTCTTGTGTGTTAGAATACCATGTATTTCTCTGCTGGCAAATAATTTAATTAAAAAGGAGGTTTTTGTGGTTGAGAACAGAGAGGGAATGTAGAAAGTGAATTATAAGACAGAACTTTGTTTCAGAGCTTTGGCCTTTTGTATTTTATGAGATTTCCCTTTTCTTTGTGGTTCTCTGTGGAGCATGTTGCTAATAATTTGACAAGAGTCTCCTGAAATTATTCCCCTGTCACTTTATGACAATTTTCATATGCTAAGAGGTGCGTATTTTCACAAAAAGATACAGTGTAGAAACCCAGCGGTGTTTTTTTAAGAATGTCGCAGTGGTTTTTTTCCATTAGAAAAAAAAATCACAGTGAATTTTATGTTTTCTCCCATTTTTGAAAAAAGCACTTTCTTCCAATCCAGTGGAAGAAGCAAACAGAATTATTTGAGAAAGTTTCCTGTTAGTTTGCTGGAAATTTTTTGATCAGGCTGAATTAGGTGTTTATACAGAGGTAGGTGTTGGAGCAACTTTAAAAGTACCTGCTGGTCCACCGAGACCTAAAACCCGTGCGTCCTATGATTCAGAGGTCTCCAGTGGGACAGCGACGTAACTCCTCTATGTCAACCATTTTCCTCCTTGAGATTCAGTCTCAAATCACAGAGCCCATCTAGTACCACCTCATTCTCACCGGAGAATGCGTGTCAAGTGTTTTTTGCCTTCCAACACCTGATAAACAAGGCGAAGTGTAAGCAGGAGCATTCCTTTGGCTTGTCCATGTCAGATGGCTCAGGAGACATTTTTTCCACTGCACTGGTGTCCTGGGATCAGGCTTCTTGGATATGTTTCCTCACTTCCCTGCAAGAAGCCTTTCTGAGCCACCGCTATGGATGTCGGCTGGCACATCGTCACACAAATAGCACAGGGGATGCTGCCCATGGAAACGAACCCAGCGTGCAGAGCGTTCAGTAGGAAGATGCATTCAGAGAGTTGCAGAAGCACAATCGTTGCTCTTCTGGAGAATTTGGTATGAGGACAAAGATAAAAGCGGTCTCTCTGCGGTGCTGACCTGACATCTGCAGGGCATAGATGGCATCTGCTGAGAGCAGTATTTTTGTCTTTGGTTTCATGACTTGACATTGGAGTCCTCAAAAGCCACTGGAGACTTTCCCCTGCTGACAGCTGGCTACAACACTAATCCTCTTTTTCACTTTCAGAGCTCCAGCACGGCTTCTCATCCTCTATATGCTAAATTTCTTTGCAGTCATTTCTTTACATACATTTCTCAGTCGTTCTGGTTTGATATTTGTTCCCTCTATGGGCTGTTTTGTCAAACTCCCTACACTTCAACACATGCTGATTCCTGTAAAAAAAGCCTGAAGATCCCTCTTATTCTTTCAGACTGCTAGAAAAGTTCTACTGACAGAAAAACAAAACAGTGAGCGATCTGTAATGTATCTCATTTGTGTGCAATACATTTTATGTCAGATCTACAGCCTTAAATGACAAATGTAACTATTTAATAGCCTTAAATGACAAATTTAACTATTTAATAAACATTAATATCTGCTTCATTTGTCAGTTATTTTATCATCTTAAGCTTTTATCCACCGCTGACATTTAAAGGCTCTGCATAATTTAAATATACCAGCATATTTGTATACCATCTTAATAAACACTTCTATATTGTTTTTTTTCCCCATATCTTTTGGTTGTGTCATTGTCACTAGGTACAGTAATTCATAACTTCCACTTCTTCATTAAAATAAAAAGATAATAATAAAGGAGGCAATTAAGTGACAATAATACCTGCTTTTGGCAGGCTAAGACAAAGCTGGATATTGGAAAAAAAAGTCAAGCTTTTTTTTCCACCTCATAAAACCCCCAGATTTAAACCAGGAAAAGGAATTAATGTGACAGGACCCCTCAGGTCACTTGAGCAGTTGCTGACTGCATCTCATCCCTGATGAAAGTGTGAAAGGCTAAGGGTTCATATATTCTGACTCTGCTGTCTTGCAGTACAGACCAGCTATTATTAATGGCTCCTAAATGCAAAAGCTGATACTGAATTATATTCAGACTGTAAATCAACATATGTTTAAATCCAGGCCCATTCATCAAATTTGGATTCTGACCTCAGGAAAATATACTGAGATCAGTGAAGCAGAAAAATTTGGTTAAAGGTAATCTTTTGCCTAAGAACTCTACTGATAAAAAAGTGCAGTGCTTATTGGCAGTTCACATTCTTTCCTAAAATTCAGATTTGGGATTTCATCTTATTATAGAAGTAAATTAATGGCATATACTTTTTCTCTGGATTTTCTCTGGAGTCCAGTACCTGGCAATGCTTCAGTTTGAGGTTTTGGTTCAGACTGAGCCCTAATTCTTGGATCAAATAATTTACCAAACCCGTGCACAGGGAATGAAGACAATAATGAAACTTTTTTCCCTGTTCTTATTTTTAAAGAATACATAACAGTAGGAAACATGAGCTTAAGTAATACCTCTGTCTGCAACAGATGAAATTGATTGAGTTGAGTAGAAAGGATAGAGAAATAATAATAATAATCAAATGGTAAATTTTGTTGACAGGTGTTTTTCAGCTGAAGGATATTTAAAACTCCAAGGTTATTTACAGCTTTGAGCTCTACTTTGTCCTCTTCATTCCTGTGTTATGTAATGTATGGTACCTGTCTCCCTGAGTCATTGCTCAATACCTAAATCATTACTAAAGTTGATGTAAAAGAAAATTATTTTTTTCCATCTCTGTTTTGCGGAATTTAAAATATTTGAGGATTACATATAAGAGGAAAATATATTACCAGCTTTAGTCTCTCACACTTTAATTAATCCATGTCCAGAAATAGCTTCTATTCACTATTTCTGTCTATGAAAAACAGCGTTAATGGTCCAAATGAAGTCGGTATTTCAAACAGTAAGGAGAGCACTCATGAAGACTCACTTCAGCTGGAGGGTGGTAGCTGCCTTCTGCAGCAGTAAACCGAGGGCGCTCACACCTGCTCTACTCTAGGTGCTCCTTATCTGCCGAAATCTCTTTTTCTCCTGTGTCTATATGAGCTGCTAAGGGACAGCCAGCTTCCAGGGCCAGCACTGGGCCTGGTGACTGCTGCTTCCCTTCCTCCATCTTCCACGGTGCTTCTCCTGGCACTTTGTGCTTCGTACCTGCAGCAGCTGCTTTCTGAGTCACGGGAATTTGTATTCTGATTTGGTCAAGTGCCCAAGTATCTGGTAAAATTCAACTCAGGACAGTGCTTTAGAGAGCTTCTCCTTCCATTAAAATTATCTTCTTGCAAGTTTTCGGAATTTGCACTTCACAGAGGTATATAATTTACAAAGCCTATGTAGGAATTATGTCCATACAGAACATCCAGCTCATTGCAGTCAAACTGACGGCACACACTGTCCTGTGTTTTCCAAAGATCTGGGCTGGTAATCTGTTTGTCTGACATAGATCAGGCTTAATTGCAAGAAATTTGCTCCAGAAACAAATGTGTTTGAAATTGCTGCATGGGAGAGGCTCAGCATGGTTAACTAGCTTGGCACAAATGATGCAAAATTTCAGATATATATGGAAATAGAGTTTGGAAAAGAGCAAAAAAGCAGATCTAGATGAAGCCTTGTTGTATTCTATCAGATATACATTAAAAGATTCAAAGGGAGACTCAG